CCGGCTGTGGGGGCCTGCGAGTCCTCAGTTCAGCCAGGGCTGGCAGACCTGTGACGGCCCCGGGCCTTGAGCAGGGAAGAGCCAGGGAACGGTGGGGAGCACGTGCCCCCTCCCCCCATGCCCCGATCCTTATTGCATGGTCTGGGCCCGCAGCCTCCCTCCCTCCCAGCCTCAGCTCGGCTGCTTCTGGGCGTTGCATGGGGTGAGGGAGCCTTAGTGCCGGGCGTCCTTCCCAGTGAGGTCCCTGCATGGCTGAGCCTGAACGCTGCACCCCGTTTCGGGGCGTTCTGTGTACTTGCCCCTGTGGCGCCCCCACAGCAGGTGCTGGCATCCTGAGCTCTTCTGTGCAGTCAGCTGGGCCTGGGACAGTCATGTCTGGGCTTCCGTCTCCGTGTCCCCAAGTGGGAGTAGGAACAGGGCCCGAGGACAGAGCAGCAGGGACACACTCGGCTCATGTGCTCTGAGGGACGCCGGCCTGTGTGCTTGAGCAGGGCCCTTGGAGACCGCAGCTGCCCCCCCCAAAACGGAGGACAGCGCCCTGAGATGTCTCCAAGGGTGGGGGCACCTGTGCCCAGGGCCGCAGCTCTTTCTACATATTATTTCATCTTGACAGTAGTCCTACGAGATGAGTATTTGTATTATTATCCCTATTTTACTCGTGCGAGGTGCGCGTGCTCATGCTCCTGTACTCCTCGGAGAAGAAGATCTTCATCGGCCTCATCCCCCACGACCAGAGCAACTTTGTCAACGGCATCCGGCGCGTCATTGCCAACCAGCAGCAGGTCCTGCAGCGGAACCTGGAGCAGGAGCAGCAGCAGCGCGGGGTGAGGCGGGAGGGGCGAGGCGGGAGCAGGGCGCCCAGGGCCTTTCTCCTCTGGCCTGGCCCGCTGACGCCTGCTTCTTCCCCCACAGATGGGGGGGTAGTGGCCACCCCGGCCTGGGCCCCTCTAGGAGTCACAGACGAGGCCCCCGGTGACACTGGTGAGTGGCAGCCACGTGGAGGGCCTGGCCTGCTGGGGTTTGGGAAGAAGCGTGACCCTGGCTTTGACAAGACCAGATGCGCGGCAGGTGGCAGCAGCCCCTGCAGACGGAGGCCCTCC